TTAAGCAGGTAAGCCATTTTAAGATTGTAACAATTATAGTTCCTCTCTAACTAAGCCACAAGGGAAAACAAATAGTATCCGTCATCGCAAGGACATTCATTAAACAAAATAAATAGGTACTGCCGGTACACATATAATTTAAAAATTTGAACTCTCTATATTATAATACCTAGAGGGCAGCGGAGAATTATTCCTTACATCATACTGAGATAAAATATATTATAATCCAATCGTACAGAAATCTTTTCGCGAATGCTTTGAATTTTGCATTCGATGCATAGGTAATATAATAATATGATGTGAGAAGGTAGATAAAGCAGTTAGAAATAAAATTAATAGTATCGACAGTGACATAATATTCCCTTTTCTTCACTTGTAGACATAAAAAGAAATGTAAATAAATACTGCATTTATTTGTGGAACACAAAATGGCACACGACCACGGAAAATAAATTAAGAGAAATTAAGCACCTTGTTGAACTCAGGTCGAAATACCAGAATATCTAAACAAAAAAAATTAGGTAATTTTAAATCGGCTTTAAATTTGCTATACAAAATTCACACACGGACATTTTATGGTAAAGACAGATCCACCCCTGTACAAATAATCAATTGGTCCATTTTCAAACTAGGTATCAAAACATAATTTTATATCTAAAAAAATTGAATTGTACGATAAAATATAATAGTGTAAAACCGTAATACTCTTCTAAAACTAATAACTTCTGTTGATGGTGCTTAACCAATTAAGAAAAATTCAAATAAATTCAAAATATACTTAATAAACATAAATATTAAATACACATTCGATCGGCTCGTTATTGCTTTTAAGTTTTAATACTTAAGACGCAGTTATAGGTACTAAACTTTACAAAGATCAATTAAACGATGAATCACAATATAAGTAATATTATACTTTAAATTATAAGTACTTAAGAGGATGTTGTATCCATATGTGTTGTCTCTAATTTTTGTAGGTACCTATACAAAAATCGGTAACTCGTACAGCAATAATTATTTTATATTTTATTGCTACGTATAATATATTTGTTACTATTTTTAATTTTAACGTGAAAATTATTAAAAAACGATTTTTAGCAAAGTTTGGTTTATCAACAGTGGTGACGACTGTCGACTAACGTCCTTGACAGAAACAATTTGGAATTAGAAAAAAATAATTGTCCAAAGTACTAAACGTGTTCGACTTACAATCTAAAGAGACGATTCTATTTGAATGAATAATCTTTTACGTGAGAAAAATTCGATCTACATATTATATACCTACCGTGTTATTATTCAAGATAAAAATAATCTACTATGTGAATGCGCACTATCTATATATTTTTAATTAGGTGTCTCTTATATCAAACATTTTATTAAAAATGTAATTTATATTGCAGATAAAATATCATCTGATATTTTATGTATATTGAACAAACGTATTTCATTTTTATTAAATTGAGAACCATTGGATTTACAATAATTATTTAATTTTCATTAGTTTAATATTAATTATAATTTAAGCTTATCACCGTAACAGTGTAATACATTCATCATAAGGATAAGACAGGTAAGGCACACATGTGTATAAGGTAATTATGTTAGTTATATAGATGTACGAACAATGTCCTTTCGATTTATTGCGAGTTCAGAATTTTAATATTATTTTTGCCTTTTCAGAAAATGTAATAGGTATAGGAAATATAATGGTGATGAATTGATAAACCTGGGACATTATAGAATTTTGGTGAATAAAGATCGCTATTCGCTTTGTTAAAATAAATTATTTTTAGTTTCTGAGCAAAATAAACAATGAACCTATTAATTTTACAGTGATGTGTGGTTTTTATTTTTGTGTCTGAAGACACTTTTCTAGTAGAGAAATTAATGCTCCTAGAAATACTTTCATAATAAACTTCGAAGGTATAAATTGAATTTAGTTAGTACCTTTAATAGGTCAAAATTTAAAACTCACAACTCAAAAAAGTCAAAATATTTTAAAAATTATACCATGTATTATAGACAAGCGAGATATATGATAAGTCTAAAAAAAAAAGTTTTTTTCAATAATAAATTATACTAATATTGGGTAGAACTAGATCAAATTTACTATCTCTGCTCAAAATCTTCAAATAAAAATAAATTATGTTAAATTCGACTGAATATAACTAAATTTTACTGTTTATGAATTTGTCAATACATGTTGATACTAAATATTTTTTTTTAGCACTACGAAATAATATTTACGATAAATACAATAGCATTGTTGTAGTTGTTAAGGTAAACCTATCTATGTTTTATTACATAATATAGTTTATTTATCTTCACTTTTCAGTTGAAGAATCCCAAACCGAGAGGCATCGGTGTTTTATATTTATTAAGTGAGATGGAAGGGTAAATGGAAGATTATGGTAAAAATGTATTGATCATTATAATAATATTTGAATTTTGAACTAAATAAAATATATAATTAAGAAACAATACCTTCGTAGTGATATTTGTATAATCGTATAATTATTTTTTTAAATAAAATATTATTATGTATTTTCAGGTTTGTAAAATTTAAATAGGTTTTCTAGTATATACATTTTTTATATTTCTTGCCTACTTCGTGTATTTTAAGGCGTTTTTTCTTATACAAATTATATAAAACTATTACACTCAATATCTATCATATTCTAATAATAACTCAATAAATAATCATTTTGTTTTTATTTTTCAAATCCGAGATACATTTTTTCAGCAGGACAGAGTACCTACCAGTCAGACTATTAAATATTTACCTATGCCACTATTACGTACTATTTTATGAACTTTAAGGAACTTTGTATAGGCAATTTTTACTAACTTCTTATGTAAATTGAATAATGGTTCATCATAATATATTGGTTTCTGTTTGAAAATCGAATTACAATTAGTTCTATGTTCAAATGTTGCTTATTCATTTTAGATGTATCGTTCTCAACTAATCATAATTGGTTCAAAAGTAATCTTTTGTATAATTACTAGGTATCCCTTACTCGAGTGAAAACTGTGAATATTTTGATAATTAAAATGTTTTTTTTTTAATTTTTTAATTTTTTAATTATTATTGTAGTATTGGGTGGGAAAATGTGATTTTCGGTGAAGATAAAATTATAATTATTATATACCTAAATAATAATATGTATGTTCCTCTCAAACGTATAAACGAATTAAATACGTAATTAAATAAATTATATTTTAACAAATTATGATTTAAAGCTGATTTAAACTATTAAAACAATAAAAAAGTTTTTTTATAAATATGAATTTTCGTAATTAATTTGTATTTATCAAAAAACAAAAAAATTAGTTTAGATGTTGTTCAATGTAATTTTTCGATAATTTTGTTTTCGCTTGAATAATATTTTTAATTCAAAAATAATATTCGTTTGTACCTATAAAATGGTTTGTAAAGTGTTCAGCACAAATTACTCTTCGATAGTTGTTATTTATTGTTTAACATTTAAAAACATTTATCTAGAGAGTAAATAAATGAAATATCTATTATAAGCAGTTCATGTTGTTTTCGATAAGCAAATAATAATAATTTATAAGTTTTGAACCTGCCTATGTTATTGTTTTACTAGGTAACTAATTACCTTAGATAGGTATAGACGTATATTTATATCTAACATAATATAGGTTTACTGATTAGTTTTTAAAATATAGCCACTCCACCAATGTTAAAAATGTTCATAACCAAGTACCAACGTGAACGACTAAATGATTTTTATAATAGGTATATTATATTTAGCGAACAGTACCTAATTTCATAAGGAGTCAATATTTACTTATTTGGTTCAAGGACTTTTTGTGTATAAATATATAATAGGTATATATAATATTATTTACAATTATTATTGTTAGTTTAGATACACCTAAGACATTATTACTATTAGATATATACATCATTAATAAAGTTCTTTAAGTTGTAATTGTGTAAATGTTACCTGTTCGCGTTCTGCAGAGGAAATTGTGGCGATGACAAATATATGATATTGCCGATATTGGGCAATGCTGTTCAAATGGAGTTTAGAAAACATACAGTTACAATTGCGAAAGACAATTTAGATATAAAATTATAATAATAAAAATAGACAACGTTTTCGACATCAAAACGAAATTCACTAGGTATTCACCAATATTATAATAATAACTTACAGTTATTCACAATTCACAGAGATAAGAAACAAGATGATAACAGGAGAGGCGGATGAGGATGAGTTAGCAGGCTGTTATCGTGACGATGACGATGACCATTCTCAAAAATGTTTCGCCGATTGTGACTTATGAGTCGAGCATGATCATTAATAATTATTGTAATCGACATTAGAATATTACGACCGAGCATGACGTGGGGCGAAATAATTGCAAAAATATTGCCACACGTGACTTTGGCTCCAAATAAATTTGGAAACTCGTCGCGGATTACGGTCGTTGTTCGCACTTTTTGTAGACCCTGACCGCGGATGCGTGATAACAGCTGATAATACGACCATGATAGGGCATAGCTGCAGCCTTAGATCATATAGTATATGATCTAAGGCTGCAGCTGATCTTTGTTCTGTTTGATAAAAATGTATTATCAATTATCACCAAGCAATTAGTATTAAAACGATTTGGTACGAACTTACCAGTTAATACTATTTTTCCTTAGCATCAGCAGCTGCCGATAAAATATAATTAGTTATTATGCTGTGGTTGCCGGGCCGCTGTCGATTATTCCACAAACATACGGTCTTGTCGACAGCAACGACCAAAACAGCCGCGGCCCTCTACCAGGGTGACGCGGCCACTGGGTGCAATGACCGCGATAACTTATTTATTTACAGTGCCGTGGAAGAAACAGCGACTGGCTGATTCCTCCATGGGCGGCGCGCCGACGACGATAACAACAACACCAACCATAACAATATTATAGGTACAACTTTTGTAATAAATTTCGAATTGTAAGTTGTTCACTTGTTCTTTTACGGCATTGTGTTCGGGACCGCAATTGATAAGCGGCTCAGTGACGTAATCGTTGTAATCGCACCAGCCGCGGGCTCGACGACGACACGACCACTCTGCTCCACTGTATAGTCGCTCGCTATGCGTATCAACGAAATTCCTAGTCACAATATGGCACGATGACGAAGGTGCAGATGTACTGATGTCACAATTCACGATTGTTTTGCTTGATATTATTATTTTGAAATGTTTTTCCCGAGAGCGGCGTCCTAGTGCGGTGTAAGGTTTTAGTTGCGGTTGGTGTTGTAGACTTGTAGTGTTGTCGTACTGTCGTAGTCGTAGCCAGGTAGGTGCGTAAGTAGTTCTCGTCCTTTTCCAGTTCGCGGTTGTGAAAACTCGTAATTTCCTCGCGACTGACTACCTTCGATTCACCACGAACGATTTATCGTCCGTTTTCTTCCGTTTTTCTGATAGTCCCGCCGGCGCCTCAGTCGCGTTTCCGTTCTTGTCCCACCTGATGTGCTTGCAATGAACGGGATGACGTTCAGCGAGTTGATGTACCTGTTCTGTTGCCCACCCCTGCCATCCCGCATCGCCGCCAAGCTGGCGTTCCTTCCGCCGCCAATTACGTACGACTTCACGCCGGTCGACAGTGGTGAGACCAAGTACCACATAAAGTTCAACGACAAGGCCGAGTGGCAGTACACCGACAGCGACGTGCAGAACATCGAGGGATTCTACGCTCGCACGTCCCGTGGAAATCGCATAGCGTGCATATTCGTGCGATGCTGTCCTAACGCCCGTTACACCATATTGTTTTCGCACGGAAACGCCGTCGACCTGGGCCAGATGAGCAGCTTCTACCTAGGACTGGGTATGAGAATCAACTGCAACATATTCAGCTACGACTATTCCGGCTACGGCATCAGCAAGGGCAAGCCGACTGAGAGGGACCTGTATGCGGACATTGACGCTGCTTGGCAAACATTAAGGACCACCTACGGCATCAGTCCCGAAAACATCATACTCTACGGCCAAAGCATTGGCACCGTGCCTACTGTCGACTTGGCGTCCAGATATGAAGTGGGAGCTGTAGTCCTTCATTCGCCTTTAACGTCCGGCATAAAAGTAGCGTTTCCTAGGTCCAAAAGGAAATGGTTCTTTGATGTGTTTACCAGGTACTTGAGTATTTATGTCTTATCCTATTGAACTTAACCATTTTGTGTTTACCCGATTTGTTTCAAATTTTCTCTTGTCCATGTGTCTACCACATTTAAATTCTACTAAAAAGACTAGATTTTAATTAAACTTGTACAGCTAATTGTGACGTATACACCACCCGTAAAGTTTAATTATGTTTCGATATGTACTGCTATTTAGTGTCTGTAGAATTTCTAAGGTATGACTTGTTATATAATACTAAACATAAATCTTTAAACACACCCTTTGTTTAATATAAACAGTTTAAATAAATACTGATACATATAGATGGTTTTATATTAGCCACACCCTATTTTATAACTATATACATCAGTGTGTGCCTATATATTTTAGTCTCTAGTTGTATAATGGAGGGTTATAATTTATATAAACTGAAATTGTATGAACAAGTGGGATTATGCAGACAACAATTGATTTGCTTGTATAAACAACCTATTAGAGTAGCGTGAACTTATGATATTATTTTGTAAAAAATTCTTCATACCTAATGAAAATATAAATTCTACCTATCTACCTAATATATATATATTTAATATTATTAAATAGATGTATAATTTATCTCATTATTTTATAAATTATTCTTATATAGTAGGTGTGTGTAAATATAGGTAATAATGGAAATTAAAAAAATTATGTTCTCCAATGGTTAATTATTAATCTTTAAAAAGTGAAAAAAATAAATAGTTGAATATTAAAATATTATTGTAAACGTTTTCTTATAAAATATTGCTTTGAATTTTGTATTACTCACTTAATAATCAATTTTTGAGCAATAAATGTCAACTACCCAGCAATCACTTATTAACTTTTTTGTTGTTACTTGGTTGCCTTTAATATAAAATATTGATAAAAAAAAAAATTCAAAAAACTGTTAATATTATTTGAGTTCCATTAGCCATTAGGTACCTATTTATTAAGGTTCTATTCTTAAACATACAATTTTAGGTATTATTGAAAAATTGTTTCATTTTAACACAAATTCTAAATAGGCATATCATTACCTAATCAATCGTATTAATAAATTGTAAATACCTTCCTTAAGTACATATAAAGTTTGATTGAATCTATTAATAATATACCTACTATTGTATACTTCATTCAATCTGATAATTTAGTCTTTAATTAGTTCTCTAAAATATGTTGACTGTTATTTGTAATTAATTGCTCATACTATATTATGTACGTAGTATATAGTATTTTGTAGGTATATAATATTTTAAGCTATTTAGTACCTACCTAAACTAATAAACACAAATATTTGTTACTTATGCTAGATACCTAGTATTTTATTCTCAAGAAGATGCCGTTTAATACAATAGTGACTTATTGATTTATTATATCTGTCTGTTTTATGCAAAACAGTGGATAATTAAAGAGACTAGATTAATATTTAAATAATTAATCTATGGGTTATGAACAAATTTAGACGAGGAAATAAATCATGTAATATGTCATTGTATAATATTGTATTGCTTACCTAGTAGGTATTTTTTCAATATTTCATATTCAATTATTATTTTATATCTTTTTTTTTTTTAAATTAACTATAAAAATATAACTCATTATTATATTAAAAAATAATATTAGAACCTAACATTTATAGGTTGGTAGAAGAACTCTTAATAATGTTAGCCTAGAGTAATTTTTTTAAACTTTTCTCTGCCAGACCCATTTATAAAAATAAAGGTTAAAAACATTGATAAATAATAGTAATCATTTACTTGCTTTACTTTCTAACTAAATATAATTATTTTCATGGTAAAAAATTGAATTAATAAAAAAATTGTGGACATTTTCAATTCATGTTTGTGGAAAACATTTAAACTAGAGGATAAAGGATAAAATGTTGGTTCTATAACAAATAAATCTGTAATGATATCCTGTTATAACTATATACTAAGTATGTTAAATTGTTTATATTATTATTAATTTATTTATGCCATTTTTTAGTATCGATAAGGTATCAGAAGTTAACTCTCCAGTACTCGTCATACATGGAACACACGACGAAGTAATTGATTTTTCACACGGTGTCGCTATTTATGAAAAATGTCCTAAAGCAGTTCCACCACTATGGGTTGAGGTAAATATATTTTTGGCATATTTAGTATTAGGACAGAATTAAAATATTACTCGATTGTCAAATTATCGATAACTATTCACTTTCTTTGTGTAAAGTTTTGTAACTAAATCGTATTGTATTATACTTATTGTATTTCAGGGTGCTGGACACAATGATGTAGAATTGCATAATGTTTATTTGGAAAGACTTAAACAATTTGTTACTACTGAACTGCTCAACTGACATTTAATTGAAAATAAAGATGCAGATACATCAAATGGACAATCGCCCAGTATGGTAACTAATGGCTCAGCGACTGAGAAATTACTTTGGTAATTTTTTATTATTATATCTAATAATACTATATATTAGTGTATAATTTGTATAATATTTATCATATAAAATATTAATCGTTCATACTATTTTATCATCCATTACAATTCATGTACAATATATTTTTTTTTTTTGTTAATCATTCGCTTAATCGTTATTTATTAAGTCATGACTATATAACACTATTCCTAAACAAGTATTTTGAAGTTTAAACAATTTATTTAATATTTATATATTTTATGATTTGTGTATTATAATAACTAAAATAATGTATCAGTGTTTTTTTTATCAAATTATTAAATTATTGTATGTTTATTATTATTATTATTGATATAGGTTATATTTGATTAGGTTTATGAATTATATTATAGATTCATCGTTTATACCTATGATATTTATTATTTATATTATCATTTTTATTATTTGAATACAGTAGAGTACCTATTAACCGAATTAATAATTCTTAACTTAATGTGAAATGTGAATTTTACTCTTCTTTTCTCGAGAAAATTTAAAAAATATATTTTCCATAGAAAAGTTTAAGTTATTGGATTAAAAAGTTATCCAAATCTAGCCAAAACAAAAATTGGTGCTCTGCTGTTGAGTTTATTTATAGTTAACTAGTACTGTTTTAATTAATTCAAATTAAGAATAATGGTTTTGTACTAGTTCAAACACTATACATGACTTGAGTATAACATTTAAAATGTATAATTATATCAAGTGTTTTTTTTTTTTTTTTTTAATATTGTAATTTTAACTATACATTAAGTTGAACAAAACAAATATTTTTTACACGCACATTGTTTTGTATGATATTTTTTGAATTCAAACATGTTATATATTATAAACATTTATTATAATATTGATAAAAAAAAAAAAAAAACCATAATACTTTCAATGTTTTTGTGGCCTTATAATATATTTCATGTACCTTCTTCAATGTAATGTGTATGAAATTAAACACTATTTCTCATAATATAACTCATTGATTGTACATTATTAAATATCATTGAAATTTATAATATTATTATGTAAATATGAATGGTGTATTGCCTGTATTTTGCGGCTTCTATAAGTTGCAGAATAAATAAAAACATTGTTATTTAGAAAAACAATTTTACATTTGTATACAAGTTTAATCTTATTAATATAATATTGTCGGGTGATAGACCTTCTTGGCCAAATAGTGGACACTTAGAAAATATCATTACCTCGATTGAATCAAAATTTAAAATAAAATATTTTTTTATCAAAATTGTATTTTTTAAATAATTAATCTATTCATATCTAACTGTTACAAAAATATGCTAAAGACGCCATTAAATTCCAACAAATATTCAAAATTCTAAAAATATTTCATTTAAATGTTAATGTTTTTATTTATCTGTCGATGTGTGTAGGCATATAATTTAAAACTTAAGTCTTTGAATGTGTCTATATTTTTAATTTATCAGATTCATATGAATACTGGTTGGTATCATACTAAAGCGGCTAATCAAAATTATAAAATGTTTACAAGGTAAATCCACAAAACTCAGTGTATCTTGTGCATTTAAATGAATGTGATTTTGTGTTTAAAATTAAAACTCTGTGACTTACCACATTATTTGAACATTGATTACATCTATTTCATGGGTAATCACTAATCGGTTATTCTTTACCATGGATGTTCTACTTGTTGTTTCTAGCGTAGTTTTGTAAAAATAAAGAATTTTATCAACTGTAGAATTATGGCTGAATTCTACATGTACAGTTGAGAGTTATCAAGTTTGGTAGCTGAGGAGCGATGGTCATAATATCGTTTAATAATAAAAAAAAAAAAAAACAATATAATATTATTGTAGGCATAATACTTCCCTGTTGCAAAAAGATTTTAACGGGCGTAAAAGTTTTAGAAAATTTGAGATGATGAGTGGTAAAAGTGAGACATCTGCTGTGTTTGTCGACTTAAATTTCGTGTTTGTGGCGTGTACCGGGACGCTTTTCTGTAATCCATAACATTCAAAATACATAGACGATGTTGTTGTTTTTTTTTTTTACTTGTAAAACTAGTTAAATTTTTTTGGCGCTGTAATTTCCATCAGCTGTTCACTGCCGCCGTTTTGGCGAGCTAGTGTTTTTAAAAGCGAATTTTTCGCTTAAAACATAATTCCTTTAGAATGTTACTTACAGGTACCTATTTAATTAAAATTGTTATGTAGCTGTTCGTAAAAATTGTTTCGACAACTGCCGGAAAGCCCGGATCGTTGTTTACAGCAATAATAATTATTATTAAGTGCAAACACGCCTATATTTATTTGTATAAAACATCAATTAAAATTTAATGCGTTTGCCCCGTGCATACACAGTATACCGTATACGGTTAGGTTAGGTATACGGTATACCTACCATAAAATGTAATTAAAATGTAATTTGTTTATAAAAGGACGTGCAGGTATAGGTTACCAACCACGACTGTTCACGATGTTGAACATTAAATATTTTTAAATGAACAATAATATAATGTAGCAGCTGTGTGTCAGCCGTTATAATATGTATAGGTATACCACCTATAAGTTTTGACTTGTAATTGGTACAGTTTAAATACGAACATTTACAAAAGTCAAATATTTCAAACACACGGCGAAAACGAAAATAACGATTTTATAGTGTTATCTTGTCATACACCTTGTTCAAAAATATGAGTTGGGCTTGAAATGCTTACGTATAAGTAGCATTATTAATTTAAATTTCAACTATACATGATGATATTCAGTATTCACACCAAGCATGCTCACCGCCATTTTTTCTTTTGATAACGTATTCATTCAAATTCTCGTTTTTGGAATTTTCAAACATACTCGAAGACCATATTTTCAAATTATTGATATTTTTTGTACCGCTTTTAGAGTAGGTACCCTGTACAAACTTTTGTTTTTCAAATGAGAACCCCAATTTTTTATTGTATACATTATTTAGCGGATATTTTTTGAGAATTTTCTATTTTGATGCACTATAATAGTTGAGATCAAAATCCTAATGGGTAGTTTTTGAGTTATTTAACTTTGTGTTTTAAGGATAAAAGGTCCATGGTTTAGGTTTATATAAGATATGTGGTCTAGTGGTCTATGGTGGATTAGAAAATATTAATCCATCAACACGAATAATTTCTAAACACGGCCTATCATAACTACTAGTTTTTAAGGACTATTATCCTTAGTACAAACATTTTAATAACTAGGAAACTACTCGTTCAAATTTTGATTTCGATACATCAAAATTCTCAAAAAATAATTCCCACTAAATGATTTACAGTAAAAAATTGGGATTCTTATTTAAAAAACAAAAGTCAAGGGGATGATCATGCTTGATGAATCACACTGCTGTATATGTATATATAATATATATATATATATATATATTAATATTGTATTTTTAGGATATAAGACAATGTTTTTATGAAGTAACAATATTTTAATTTCATTTCTAATAAATATATTTTTAATTAATTCTCATTAAATTATTTATATTTATTTAATCAACGGTATAATATGCTACTGGGGATTTTTTTCCTAGTGCAGTGATTTTTTTAGGGTAATTTTTTTTCCAACTACCTACCCATCAGTTGGGTCCAGACGGTCCAGTATTCTAATCTTTAAGAAATAAAATAAATAAATAATATTAGTATCGTATAACCACAGAATAGGTATATTTACACCTATACATCATTTTAATTACTAATTATCGTGTTTTGTTGCAGTAATTTGTGATTATTCGTGTTACGCTCCTATATGGCTAACACCGAGAAGAGAATGGTAGGTACAGTTTTTTTTTTTTTTTAACACTAACATTCAATTTTAATATTGTATCAATATCTATTGATGGGTGTCATTTATTTTTTATATTTATCATATTTTTGCGTTATTACAGTAAGCTACTGAAGTACAGTAATATTGTATATACTATATAGCGACTGAATAATGTGTATAAGACGAGAAAAACTTTAAAACCACGAGGGTGTGTAGGTGTTGGTCGAAGGCTGTGAGGGTAGGGGGGAACCGGAGAAGCACAGAGCAACGCGCTAATAAAATACTATATAATATTAGTAATATTCTACTATACTACACAATAAAGTATATGGATGAACAGATAAGCATAATAGGTAGGTACTGAATATAATGCAAATATTTTATGTATCATATCGTTTTAATTTTCTAATCCCGTTATATATAGGTCACAATATAATAGGTAATTTTAATAATCAATCGCATCATTAAACGTAGGTATACACACAAACGCGATACGATATCCAAAACACAAATCATAATTATTACGAATTTTATCGCGAACATATGCGACCGTTCGCGCAGATCCTCTCTCATTATTTGTCGCCTGCAGCCACAGTCGTTGCAATAAAAGTAAGTGGGGTTTTAAGTTTTTCCAGTTTTTTTATTATTTGCTAAAAAAACTAGTTGTCCGCAAAAATTGAAAATCAGTTCGTAAATTAACACATTTAACAAAATTCAAAAATCGCTTATGTCGACATGGTGTCGAAATGTTGCTTATACATCGGCACCGCGGAAACCCTCGGGCCGCAACAGTCGCACCCATTAAAATATTATTATTATTATTATTGCGTCGAACAATGCGCGACCGACGCGCGACGACGCTTTAAATGGATACGTCCAATGTTCCTATAGTCCATAGTAGTAAATATAGCGTTGTTTGTTTTAGAGTTCTTTCGCCTCGCAATAGTCGCCCGATGACGTGGGTGCATTAAACTGGTTTATCGACGACACACTATAATATAGATACGGGTGGGTACCCCCCAACTATTTAGTCGTCGGCAAAGCGCACGACAAATGCAGACCTTCTTTTGGACGGTGACATTTTATTACAATAATATTATTATTGTGTATTATTGTCGGTGCTAAACAAAATTTACACGATCAATCGATCAAACACTTCAAATACCCGATATTTCACTATAACCATAACTAGACCTTATTTGTAAAATTTCGGACTGTACATTTGACGATTTGAGTTTTACGCTTCAAACAGAAATTTCGTTTTAGCCATTTTTCTTAGAAAAAKCAATGTATTACAATATTAGGTATATATTATTTTATATTATTTTTACATAGGTATTAGGTAATAATGATAAAACAACAAAATTCAGGAAATACTCATATCTCCTAGTAGTTGATAAATTTTTAATTTTGGTTTTGTAGACCGTAATGCACAATATTCTACATTCGTGTTCCACATAATT